GGATTGCGTTCAATCACCACACTGCTTGGGGGTCTGGTGTGGCGTGGCACATGGCACACAGACACCAGGCGCCAGGCCGTTCTACATGGGTTTTGTGGAGCCTCCGAGCTCCAGCCCCGCTCCAGCCATCGATGTCGGGCTAGATCGAAGAGACCAATGCCGCGTCTGAAACCACTATGACGTAGAACCGAAACCAGATGACGCTTCAGCTTCATCCATTTGTAATCATTTGTATATTCATGAATAGTCCAGGGCCTCAGGGAATCGTTAAAGGGCATGCTGGCGCCTTGATGGAGATCTGCACGCCGACGCCTTGATTTTCGAGCACCTCCGCAGATCCGCGGGTTCTTCGGTCCAATGGAACACCGCCCGGTTTTCGGTGCTTCCTTTCGCGGGGGACGACATGGACGAAGCCGCTGAGAGATGGGGGAAAACCATGTGCCCAAAAGGGCTGACCCAGACGCGACCCGTTCGGCGCCTCATATGCCAGGACCTTCAAAGTGACCTCTTTGGAGTCTCTAAGTGACCTCTTTAGGGACTAAGTGACCTCATTCTAGGATCTCAAAAGGTCGCTTTGAAGGTCCTGGTGGAGGGGTCAGGGGTCTCAAAACCCGCTTTTTGAGGGACCCGGAAAGGGCTGTGAACGGAGCATCTGGGTGTAAACCCATTTCTTGCCCCAATGTGGAACCCCCTGTTTGGCACAATGATGCACAATGCATAAGATGTGACTTGCAAGAATTTCTGCTGGCCCCATGTTGTTGCGGCACACCTCCGTGACACAGTGTGCAATGCCCAGCTTCCGCCGAGCGGCTCGCTCGAGCGGACGTCCGTGGTGTGCTGCACCGACGTTCTCATCGGTGGATCCAGGACTTTGTGGAAGAACTCCTGAACGCTGCCTTCAAACCCATGTGGCCAGCGGTTGGGGGGGCTCGATCCCGGAAACGGTCGCGGGTTCGGGACATCACCTGAAACCCGGGGAAGGCCGATCTTGGCGTGCACAGGCACGGACAAAGGGGAACACACCTCGTTTTGGGGAGGGGGGTCATCCAGTGCTATACTTAGCCCAAGGCATCCAGGCAAACCACTACGTTAGCTGGAGTCCCAGTGGTTCCACTTCGACATACTTCGACTAAAACCAGTCCGACCGGTTCCGAAGGGCCCCTGGTTCCTTAGTACTGTGGATCCACTAAGATCGACTGGGCACCTGACACCGATAGACACCAGACACCCGAGCTCTACTGGGATCCACTGGGTAGGTTCATCTCCATAAACATGGTGGCCGCTTCTGATCTGGAAGCTGTGTCGGATATGTAGGGACAGGGGGGGTGCATCCGTTGAAAAACGGCGTGTTTCTTTCGGCCACGTCGCCACGTCTCCATGTAGTCTAAGTGCCTAAGGAGCTGTTTTGGCAGTCCTTTTTTGTTTCTGATTTCACCAGCAGTCCCAGTGGGTTGGCGAACCATGTCGCACATGGAAGACCCAACGAACCACGAACCACGAACCACAAACCAACGGCTTCTTAGTTGATCCCTCCGAGCCTCAGAGACGTCCATCCCGTCGCTGGGACGGCATACCACGACGTGGCGAGCGATGTCGCGAGTTCGGGCCGCGAGTGCAGGGCCTCCGGGGCCTCCGGTGCCACCAGCCACTCTAGACTAGAGCCTCTACAGGTCCAGGTCGACCGGTGTAGAGCGGACAGGGTCTAGCTCTGAGGCTACCGGGTTGTAACAGCCGACCAAATGCCGTAGAGGTAGACACCTGTAGACACCGATAGACACCTGTAGACACCCGAGCTCTCCGGACCCCGGGCGGCTCGATCCTCGGCTCGATACAGCGACTCTACCTACCGTCGTCGCCTCGTCTGAGGCTGTCTCCTTGCGGGGAGCCCGGTCACCACGTGCTCGATGCGAGGATTTGAGCCGAGTCGGTGGGTTGAACATGTTGTATCTTGGAGTCGGAGGGTCAAAAACAGTTACTTTTCAGTGCCAGGTTTAGTTGTCAGTGAGATGGTCAAACGTCTAGGTCCTCTAGGTGTCAACATGAAGCCTCAGTGAATTGAAGGCGGCTTGGGTCCTATCTTTTGCTCTCAAACTATTGCTATAAATACAGCTACTCCCATTCCATTTCAGAGTTGAGGCACCAAAAATGTTGGAGAAATCAACGAGGAATTGAGAAATCACGCGGCTCAACGTCGGAGGGAGAGTGCGAGTGAACGCCGGTGTCCACTACTAGGGTGTCTAGGACTGGACTGGACGACGGTCACCCGGTGTGACTGGACGACGGTAGCACAGAAGATCTCAACAAAGTAGGGACCATGAAACAGACCGGAACGAAAGAGCCCTCAAAAAGGCTGCCAGAGCCAAAAGGGCTTGAGGATCAGGGTCAACGAGAAAGTTCATGTGTGAAACCTAGTTTCTTAGATACAGCAACCAGCTCTTGTGGTCAGATTTCGACCTGTTTTTCAGCCGTTTTCTATTGTTCGTTATTGTTCTCAATCACAACTTGATGCAAGGGTCCATTCGAACCTGCCCGATGAATCCCGATGATCTGCTTGATTCATGAAATTCCGACTCAGGAAAGTGACCTAAGGATGACCTCCAACCTAACAGCGATGGCCTCCAACCTAAGGATGACCTCCAACCTAAGGATGACCTCCAACCTAACAGCGATGGCCTCCAACCTAAGGATGACCTCCAACCTAAGGATGACCTCCAACCTAACAGCGATGGCCTCCAACCTAAGGATGACCTCCAACCTACTAGCGACGGAAAACCACGAATTTGGTGCCCAAGCTCTGACTGCCAAGCTATCTCACTTGGACCCTGCATACCGGAAGCCTGGTGGTGCAGATGTGCGGTGAAGAATGAGATGCATTTCGCTGCAGAAATACCCTCTGACTCGCGTCACATGGAAGTGGAGCGGCATGATCCCATTGGAAGACGACGTTCCTTTTCCAACCAAGCATTTTTCCAGTTCCATGTGTTCCTCAGAGTGTACTCCTTTTTAGGAAGGGCCTTCGTTTCGGGCGCCCCCATGAGCTCTAGGCGAAGGAGATCTCCGATCGCCTCGGTGCCGTGCCTCGCCGAGGCTTCGCTACCTCTTGCAGCAGCTGATCGCTTTACTTCAAGAGAAGAAGCAGGCACGGCACGAGTCTAGGGTGGAAGGCATCTAGGGTGGAGACAATCGCTACTAGGTTGAAGGCCATCACTATTAGGTTCCTTTTGCGTTGAGCACCGCAACATGCAGTCCCACCGAGCAGGAATCGTTTGAAGGCACAGAACATACCGCAATGGCCCTGACATACAGAATCTGTATGAGATATGGAATCTGAGCATATCTGAGCGACATGTGACATACAGAATCTAGGTACTGACAATCATTTTTAGCATCTACTTTCTTTTGGGTTGGGTTGACTTGGTACATCGACCCACCAGAAACTCATTACCCAGACACTCCACCTAGGTATATTGGGTGGTTTGGAGGGTTACTGGCATATAACTACTGATTATACATGGAGTGTTTGGGATATAGAATCTCTGTGAGATGTGTAGGGCCTTCTTCGCCACAAGTGTCGAAAAGCCGTGAACATGTGGCTTTGGGGGCCCCAAGAAGGAAGATGAGTAAGGAGTTGAAGCCCCAACATGTGGCTTTGTGGCTTTTTTTGGGGGGGCTTTGGAGTAAGGAGTTGACCTGTTCCGGTAGCGGCCGGCGACTGCCTTTTTTCACGTGAACGGCATCTGTCATTTGAGAAGACACATTGGCACTGTGAGGCATGAAGCTCTCCCAGCATGCGCAAAGCCCCTCTGTAGTTCTTGACCTGCTTTGCAACAGCACTAGGATTCAAGCGGTCTCTGAACATGATCCACATTTCATGTGACTGGGAGATTTCTGGACCACATAAGGCGCCCCCGGATGGTTGTGGGAGTGGCAAGCATCCCATCGAGTATTTCCCAGACACTCCAAGTGTTTGGCATCACTTTAAACTCTATGCTTACACCACCTAGAAGCGATGGCCTCCAACCTAGAAGCAATTCAATTAATTCTTATCATGTCTTTTTTTAAAAGAAGATCTATCATTTATCCATATATATATATATACTGTAGCTACATTGGGGTGGTTGTTTTGAGGGTTCCATAGGGCGGCGATGCCATCAATCATATCTCGGCGGTGTGAGAATTCCGATCTGAGTTTGGACGCTTCGATGTTTCAGAAGGTGCTTTGACGTCAGTGATTTCAACATAGTTCAACTCTCAAAAGGGATTTGTGTGCAATGACGACCGGTTGGCTTTTTTGGGGTTCAGAAAGGTTGTATTTTCCAGGGATCTCCGGCGGCTCAGGAGTCAGTCTTGCATATTACCTTGCATACCATGACTCTTATGAAATCAGATGGGTTTAGGGATTTTAGGCTACAAGGATTAAGCTTAACCCCCGAATCATTCGACCAAGTACCAGAAGACTGCAAGCATGTTATTCAGACTTTTTGGCTTCAGGTTCATCATCTTTACGCATCCCTGTCCTCTCTGAAAACGCAAAGGCAACAAGGCGAGCTTTTCCTTCTCGTCTGAGACGCTGCTGACTCGTCTGAGGGCGTCTCAAAACGGCCACTCGCCGATGTGAAGAGACTCGCCGTGCGCGTCTAGGCGGGCGATATCACCGTGCGCGAGTTCGCTCTGAAGCTCTTGTGACAGCGACATGTTTGGAGGGACGAGGATGGACGTTTGGGGCGAAGGTGTGAACAGAAGATGGAGCACGGATGCGAGAGCCGTTTGGCGGGTGGCCTTTTTTGGGCGCGACAACGAGCTGTTTTTTCGTTGGCAAGGCCCACACCTTTGAATGCTGGTCAAGCAAGTTGTTGAATGGGAAATCGACAGGGAAAGTTGAGCTTCTTCTTGATAGTGCAATGAGCTTTGATAAACATCTCATAGCCGTGATCTTCTGAACATTTCTGAACTATTGGAAATGGAACTATTGGACATGCATGGGAATAAATTCGCCGGTGAGCTTTATTGCTCAAACAGATGCTGCAATAGCCCAGGCCAACGACTTGATATGAGAGAGCATGTTTGCTTTTGTTCTCTTTCGTGTCCTTCTTCCCTTGCAGCCCGTATTTGCGGCCCGGAAGGTTTGCGGCCATGGTCCGCATGGTCGTTTTTCTGCGGCTCCTGCCTGTCGCTGTGGTGGCCTTGTACAACACAGCCTTCGTTGGCACAGAAAAACAGCGACGCACGGTGCGCCGAGTGGCTCGAATCTGAAGCTCAGCTCGTCCGCTTCGCACCAGACCTCCCCATGAAGGCTCGTGACTTTTGGCGGAGGAAGCCTCCAGTTACGAGCATTCGACTGTAACAAGAGCTTCCCCCAAAGGTTGACCGACCGTGTTTGAAAACGCTGGAAAGGCTGCAACTGAACAGGCTTTCCTGCAAACGGAAACGGTAGGGATGCTGGGAAGCCGTGAATGAGTTCAGAATTCACAGCTGAAGAACCAAGTGAAAGGCTGGTGGAAGTCTTCAGTTTTGGCAAGTACCTTCCAACTATACACAAGTGAACAACGGCTTTTTCATGTTTCCGCTAGAATTGTGTGGCGGGGTGAATGGGTGATAATATTACTCACTGTACTTGGGGGTTACGGGTAGCAATCAAATTATGCACCATTTTGAAGCTTTTACAGTAACCATAAATACCCCATCCGGTTATCCAATGCGGATCGGATTCGATGCATGAGAAATAAGACTCGAGCTCAAGAGGTTGGACCCTCAAAAGAGGCCGCACACATTATGTGTTTCTTAAAGCTTCCGTATATGACATGTAATTGCTTTAGTCAAGTATATCTGAATTGATCAGAACCCTGGGAGTCAAAGACTATAAAAAGAATGGTTGAATGGTCTTTAGGTGACCCGAAAAGGACTTTCCTTTACTTCAGTCGGTCAAAATATAGTCACTTAAGTGCCATAGCTGGCCACGAAGCGCTTCTTTTGCCGCAGTTGGCACTTCTGTTGTGCAGCCCTGACCATTCAGGCCTATGGCTGTGCCACTACCCCCCACTGGAACTTCTTCGTGCCCATCACCTTCTTCAGGTGTAGTGGACATGCTGGTCGACTTTGGCCATCTTGTCGGAGAGACCTGCCAGCACGTCACCTGAGTCATGCAAGTAGCGCTGAACCGCCGACGACGTCCATCGCCCAGTCCTCTTCACGACTTCAATCTCCCCAAGAGGGGACGCTCCGCCAATGCGGAGAGAGTGGGACTGGAAGCGCTCAGCTGGTAGGCCCAGTGCCCGAGCCGCCTTCTGTAGCACGTTCTTGATCCCGAGCCGCTTGACGACCTGGCCTGAAGCCCATCGGAACAGAGGTAGGTGACATTCGGGTCCACGGCCAAAACGCCTTGGAGACTTCTGCCAAGCTGATTGATAAGCTCTTTGGGTGCTAGCGGCTTTGTCGCCGGTCAAGTGGTTCTCCAACCATTCTTCTATACTTGGGCCTGAATCTCAAGATCCCCATTGAAGTCTGGGTTGAGGTTGACAATCTTATCTCCTTCCTTCTTTGAGATCTCCTGGGCAATCTCCTTCCTGCTTCGTCGCCCACCACACTTCCTGCCTTCTGCCTTGACCTCTTCAAAGCCTTCTAAAGCCTCTAACCAGAGGGTCTCGCCCCATAGCCACACCTTCTCTGTCATCTGTTCATGGCCACCGGCTTTCCTCCATGGTATAGAGCGCTTGAACTCTCCTCTGCGCCACCTCCTCAACCTGCACAGTAGGGCTCCAATGGACTTTGCATCCTCCTTGTCCCAACACATGCCAGCCTTCTGATCCTCATAGGCCGCGCTAGGGCTCCCAGCAGCCGTAATGCCGTGCGTCTTCCGGTGGCCCGGCAAGCTTCCTTTGCCACCTCTTCAGGGTGCATGTCTTGCACGAGCTCCTCCCATTCTGGGATGGTGCGTCCTTGCATCACCCACAGCTCTTCGCCCAGGAGCCTCCTCACCTTGCCCACGGGAGCAGCCTTGTCGGCTACATATATGTCCTGAAGCTTGTTGCTGCCCTTGTCCAACAAAGGCCGCCTCATCGGTCCGCTCATGCGGTAGATGCTGGCTCTTTCCCCATCAAGGCTCATCCATGCATGGCCAGCAACTGAGGGTAGCATCGGTTCATGGGCTGGGTTCACTCCCAGCTCCTGCTTCACGCAGGGTGTCCAGCTCTCCTTCCCCTTTTGCAGGTAGGTGCCCGCAGAGGGGGGCTGTCACCGCCCGCATGAGGTGTCCATCGATTTTACAAAGGTTGCTTTCCTCCTCCTCACCATGGCTTCTCCAAGTTCAGAGGTCACCAGCCACCGGAGAAGTATACTCAAAGTCCTTCACGACCCTTGGTCTCCATGTCCATTCAACGACCGTCACAGTCTTGAGGTCGACGGGCTCACAATAGAGCGTTCGGAAGATCCTTAACTCCTGCAGCCTCATCAGCTCGAACCGGTCCTCTTGGTCGGCCCAGGATAGGAAGCATGCTCCAAACCTCTCTGAATCCTCCAGGGCTTGATGGATGCTTTCCTTGATGTCGACCTCCTTCCAACCCTTCTTGGTCATCAGCTTGGCTGCTTCCTCATCATTCAATCGGGTCAGAGCGTCTGCATCCTCATTGTGGAAAGTTCGCCACCGTCCTCCCAAGATCTACTCTCTACCAAATGAAAGGACCCGGATGAGGAGTCTCCCCGCCCTGACCTTGCTCTTCCGAAGCTGAGCATCTCGTTCAAGCGGATGGCTAGCTCTTTGTCTTCATCTAGTCAGTTCAGCCTCTGACACCCTTTGAATCCAAGGTTTCAACACCTCCATGGTGACCCGGCATGCATACCCTCCGGACCAGTCGATCGCTCCGACCATCCTCCTTCACGACCGGAAGGAGGTTCAGGGGGGGTTCATCTCCTTCATCATCGTCCCCTTCTGGATCGTCTGGATCCTCTGGGTATGGCCCATCACGGTGCTCCCACGGGACTTCTGCATCAGAGAAGATGAACATCGTGTAGCCTGTCCAGCTAGGGAAAGGTCCTGCAGCCCGACCCTGCACCAGCCAGTTGTCATAGAGCTCCGACACTTCAAGGTTCCCTTCGGCATCAAAGGATTCGCACCTGGCGAATCTTTCCCCATGGAACCTGTCCAGGGTGTAAGGGTATGGCAGTTCATCTGGTGTGCAGAGATTGGTTCTTGGCTGGACGTGGTTGACCCAGACATAACCCCTCTCTGCATCGACCCTCAGCTCATTCCTCAGGTCTTGTTGTCCCACACTGGCGACCCGTGCTCTGGGAGGGTTCATAGGCTCATTCACGTGCTGCCCATTCCACACACCGACTCGCCTTCGCTCGGCCATGCCCGCAATGAGTTCGAGCTGCTCCTCATCCAGGAGACTCAACAGCTGTTCATCATTGAGTTGATCAAACGGTCGATCCCCTTCTTGCTGATTTCCTCCAGGTTGACCTCCTCCAAACCCGGGTTCACTCCCTTCTCCTTCAGGTTGGGCTTCCTCTCCTTGCTCCGGGAACTCGATCTCAAGGAAAACGTCCTGCTCCTCCTGCTCTTCTGCTTCCTCTGCTGGGTTCTTCTCTTCCTCATCCTCCTCTGCAAGGGTCGTTTCCTCAACCTGACTGGGCGGTGCTCCCTCTCCAGCTCGTCCTTCTACCCATTGGCGGCCTGACGAACTCGAGGTGGCACCTTCGTGGCCATCGGCTTCAGCCTCCTCAGTCTCTTCGTAGACAAACTGGTGCCCATCCCATCCATAGGGTCTCTTGCCGCCGGCTCTGGTCGACTCGGGTTGAGTACATGGAACTGGAGGTGCCACTTGGAAACATGGCTGGCCCTCTCCCCCCACCACCAAAGTTTCAACCAAGGCCATGACGACACTGCGAACAAAACCAGCTGCGTAGACCCCGGCTTCGGTGCAGCGAGACACGGACACTCCTGGGCGGTTTCCCTTGAGCGGAACATGCTGGTGCAATGAACTGACCCCGGCCGCAAGAGTGCTTGCCGAAGCGGGGGGGGATGAGGAAAAGCCAAACCAGTTCGATGCCGGTAAAAGTGATTGGGCTCGTCTGGGGGTCCAAGGCCGAAGGCACACATGTCGATCTCGATGAAGTCGACATCCGGGCGTTGCAAGAGCTTCTGCCACTTCGGGAGGTGCCACTGCTTAGGGTAGCGGCCGGACGTCCCTGAACTCTCTGCAATCGGGAAGCCTTGTTGTTGCAGCGAAGCTTCAAACAGGTCTGCCCCATAGTTCGCCAGAATATTCCCGATCTCTTCTTTGGGTGTAGGTTGCCCACCAGGATTCTGAAAGGAGCACTTGGGCTGTGCAGAGGCTCATGCCGCATGACAGAATGGGGTCGGTCCAGGTGGATCCAACGACCCTTCCGCTGCCTGGTACCGGTACCGGTCCACGTCCCGCACCGAGGCCCGCACCGAGGCCCGCTGCGTGGTGATTGGGGAGGCCGCACCGCGCGGCGAAGAGGCGGGTCTCCGGGGTTGTTGTGCCCTGCGAAGAGGTTGGGTTCGACTTTTGTGGGCTCCAGGTATGCAAGGCCGGCAGTGCCTTCAATGATTCGATTGGGGAATGCCAATGCCATACACAAGAGGGACCCTTTGACTCACTGATGTCAAATAGAATTGTTTTCACTTCCAGTGGATGTCTTGGTCGGAGTGTGCACTTCCGATGTCCTCCTCACATCCTCCTCCTCGGTGTTACACCATCTGCGCATAGATGCGGCGCAAATATGGCGCAGTGTTGGACCCCGACTTTCACCGAACACCGAAGGCGGCCCACGGGGCTTCACGGGAACCCAGGTGGGAACCACCTCCCCATGTCGAGTGAACCACACCCCGGAACCGATTCCGCTTTTGGGGTGCGGGAAGACGACGCGCGGGCGAACGACCAGCGGCCAAAGTCGGGTTGTGCGGTTTTTTGCGGAGAGGAGAAGGCTGCCTTGGTGAAAAGGCTCTTGGCGGCCAAACGTTTTTCAGGGAAGACCTTTGATGAGCAGCTTGGCTGAAACGAGCAGTTGAAAGACTCCAAATTAACTACATAGCTACTGGGGTGGAGGCCATCGCTACTTAGGGTGGAGGCCATCGCTAGTAGGTGCCTTTTGCGAGTAGTAGGAACTCTTGGCCCAAGAAACGTGCATTGACCGGGATCGACCGGATGGATCTGATCGACCGTTGTGCTCGATGAACTTTGATAGAGAACAAGTCTACGCGACCCGTTTGGCGCCTCATATGGAGAGTCTGGGGTCTCAAACCCGGTGACTGAGGGAGTCGGGCTGTGAACGGAGTGTTGAGATGATTTCTGCGGTTCGTAGGTCTGATCCTCACATCCCAAAGTTTGAGGACTTCCTCTCTGTTTGAAGGAAATAGACACAAGTAACCTGGTGACCGAGCAAACGGTGATAGGCCAAATGGCATGCAGGATTTGATGCACAATGTGTTCATTCATTGAGTGAATACATTGGTTGTTGTAGCTGGACTTGGCTGCCCAAACAGTGTTTCATATTCTTTGCATGCAGCGTGTCAGTCATAGTGAGACCTGACCCTGTTGGGGATGACCCGAACAGATCTATCTTCCAAGACCTGACCGGGACCCCATGAGAAACATGGTCTGACCTACTATTGATGAATGAAATCCTGCAACATTTGAAAGCCTGAAAACTCTTCAAAGAGTGCGCAATTCTCTATTCAATTTCAAGTGTATTCTTCTTCCTTCAGAAGGGTGCACACCAGCGTTGTTTGGCTTCTTCTTGTGAATCGACCCCTTTGTGAACTTGCCGTTGGAAGCCAAACAAAACAGTGCTGAGAGTGCGTGCTCGACATTGCGATGCGAAATCAACCTTCCCCGAGCGCATCCGACAGCTCCCGCTTGGTCCACGCTTTCGACCGACCCGAGGATCGCCAAAGAGCTGGGATATACCAACGCCTATACCGCGCCCCAGCGGGTCACCAAAGCAAGGTCCAAGCGGGTCACCAGGGGACGTCCAGACCTGGAGGTGGATCTGGCGCATGAGATCCTTCACACTTCGGACTGGCATGATCGGTTCACCCGGGGTCAATGGGGCATCCATTCCATACAAATCGCCATTCCATTCCATTCCATTTGGGGAGTGTTTTGGTGAACAACTCTCTGTGGGGTGGAGTACCGTACTTATTTCCATCCTTGAGGTCCGTTGAGGTCTGTGTCCGTTCGAGTGGACAATCGCTTGATCGCTTGCGTTCGGACCGTGCGGAGGGTTCATGTGAGATAAAACAGAATTCATACCCCTAGCCTTCCAGCGACCTGTATGTCCGGAACTGGTCGAGTTATCACCCTGCCAGGTAATCAGGGTTTGGTTCCTGGAATCGCCTAGGGAGTTGGCTCAATCTTTAAATGCTATTCCACAAGCCCACAAACGAAGATTTGTCACATTAAACCCAAGGTCAACTGTGTTATCGTGTTTTTGATGCAATCATGATATAACAACTCAAACGAAGATCCGATTTTCGACACTAACGAAGATTTCTCACATTCGGATCATTGGGGAATGCTCAGACTTTGGATAGCCATCAGACTATAGACTCTATAGACCTTTCTTCCTTTTCTGTTTTCTTTGTTTCTAATAGCGACGGCCTCCAACCTACTAGCCATGGTCTCCAACCTAATAGCGATGGCCTCCGACCTAAAAGCGTCCTTGTAGGCTGACAGGACCGCTTGCAAGTACTGTACTTGGAAATCTTGTTCAAATGTACCTCCCGTACTGTAATTACCTCCTGTCCATGTGGTGACACGGTCTCGGCACAGATCGTTAAAAACATCTAAGATCGTCACGACAGCCGGCACCATTTTAGGCAAATCTCTTCTTCAACCAAGCACAGTTGAAAGAGCGCTCTGCGGAAAAGCTGAAGGAGAGTTCTGACTTCATCAAATTGTTTCAAGATTTGCTTCGTGGTCGTGGTTGTCGTCGCTTTAACTATATAACTATACCAGCATGTTGGAAGGAAGGATGGCAAGGGTTTAACACCTGATCCGCCGAGTTGTTGTCCTTGAAATCGGAACGCTCAGACATAGGCCTAAGTGCCACATGTTTGCGGAGATTGGGTTGGTCATATGAGAGATTGGTGAGAATTCTCGCCTTGCTTTGTCACCTATTGCCACTTGTACTTGGACAGATGAGGATTACATAGGTCGTGTTAGTAGAACATCGCCATCGACCCACGAAGCCACGGTGGTTGTATCCACCATGCAAAAGACTTTGGGGATGTACGCCATGCAGCTTCAGCATTTTGCTGCCAAGAAACGTTTGTGAACTCGCTCGCAGGCGCCAGGAAAAGTCGAGCTCAGAGATGTCCGCTGTGTGTGCGGGGGGGGTGGCGGCAGGAAATCAATTAAACAACCTGAACTCCTAAACTCACTGGAAAGCAAGAACTCCTGGAATTTCCTAGGAGAGTGAATCTCCAGAGTGTTTAATCCCCATCCTGATATCATTGACTTGCCCGTGCTTTGTTTTCGAGGAGTGGGAAGGACTTGCAATGCTGAACCGCCGCGACATAGAGATGATGAAACAGCCGCCGACGCGGAGCTTTGATCCTGCTATTCTGCAGGCGAGGCTTAAGCTTGGGATCAAAGCACACATGGGTGCTTCATACTTCGCGCAGTGAGGTATTTTGTGCTAGGTGGACTTATGGTTTGTCGTCAGGGTATGTCTGACAAAAATACCCCGATCTGCAGCAAAGTTGTTTCTGTTCTTATCTCATAACTACTTAGTGTTCTTCCCCTTTGTTCTGGCATTCCATTGACAGAGACTCGTACCCCGACGACTGACCCTGGACACACTGTCCCAAGCCGCGAAAGGTGGCTCACGACGACGACGACGACGAAAAGATGCCCAGACCCAAAGTCTTTGGGGCGCCCCTAGAAGGTTTGGTCAGTGTTTCTATCAGGTTTGATTCTGTCCTATTTCGATTCATAGGTTGTGAACCCTAAAACAGACTAAAACACAACGAGGTTGTATCCTAGACCTCCACCGCTGATCTTCTCATCGCTTTTTGGCCAATTCGACCGGGACCCCGTCCACTAGCGATGGGAGAACAAATACATCAAAAGCCAATCCTTCTCCAACATCTTCGACGTTTCTCCCGTCGATTGGATTCACTGTTTGGCGCTGGTCACACACTCCCAGTGAGCTGGTGAACCCATCTGATCGCCTCGCCACGTGGTGCGACGTTCCAGTTTAGCTCTTGATGGGCGGGGTAACAAGAGTGGACTTGTTGGCTGGTTCCAGAGATGGATCGAAGCTGCAGTTGTTGGCTGGTCACGTCAAACTGTAAGCGAAGTGAGAAAAAGATGGGAAGGGAGCTTTGGGAAGAGTGGAGTCGGTGAAGCTGTTTTTCGCACAATCCAGATGATGCCGTTCAGCTTTGACCCTTCAAACGGGGTGGCATTTTTCGGATCGAGGCCCTGCTGCACTGCTGTGGTCAGTCCGTGTCCGGTCCTTTTTGGGCGACCCATCGGGCCGCGCTTCTAGTGGAGAGAGGTTGCCAAAGTCACACTCCCCGGAGCCACCGTTGACGTGGAGTCGTCTCCCAAAGACTCGGACGACCAATGGCCGGCTGACCAATGGCCTGTGGTTTTCACTCCGGCCCCCAACAAACCTCCGGAAACCTCCGGGAGGGTCTGGGGCATGTGGGCGTTTCCCTTGTTGAAGCCGAATCAGACGGGGCGGTGTCCGCCGTGTGGCGGTGAAACGGGCGCAGGAACCCAACGTCTACCGCCTCTACGAGGCGTCCCTTGGGCGTTGATGGTTTGCGAAGCCTGAGACGTTGGTACACTCTGACTGACTTAACATGGAAGTGGAAAATGGGACCCTGCAATACTACTGTCCTCTACAAACAGGGGGGTTGGTCCACTTCCATGTTAGCGAGTCGAAGTGTAGTTTATGATGAACACCCTCCATGCAGGATGTGGTGTTTATATAAATGTCTTTTGAATAGGAAGAACACCAATAACCACTGGGGTAGAGTGTTTGCTCTATTTCCCGAACCTTCCAAATAGGGAGGTCTCCCTAGACTTAAACACACTTTTGGTTGGGGCCTCAACAGGCTCAAATGAGCTTTCTTTTTGGCGGTTGTCATGTTGGATCTTGATTTATTGGCTTTTTGTTCCTTGCCGGAAATGGATGCAAGGCCACATTGCAGACATGAGTCATGAGTGTCATCGAACCAGATCAGCACACCATGCGGAAGGCACTGATCTACTGGGTTCGGCTAGAAATTCACTTGGCTTGGAAGACGGCCGCAAGCGACCAAGCGACCGCTGAAGGAGACCAACTGGTTTGGGTCAAAACAAAAAGGATGGATACAGTTGGGGTACTATAATGGTACACTTATTAGGGACTATAATAGTACACCTTATAGTCTTATAGTCTAGTATACTGCTTGTACTAGACTTTGAGAACTACTATTATTATTATAGTATACTTACACTCCAGGGACTCCATTAGTCGACCCTACAGCCAACAGTTCTATCTGAACTAAGAGAGGATTTGGATGAGGATTTTCCGCTGGTTGGTATGGCTTGACAAGAAACATCATGGGGCCCCCTTGAGTGGAAGACAAGCCGCCTCACATCGGATTGAGGGTCATGGGGGACAAACGCGCCACGAAGAACAAACCACGGTCATGTCCCTGTTCTCTCCTTCCACCGCCCCGCGAAGCGCCGACACGAAGCCCCGTTCGTCCCGTCCCCCGTGCGTCCCCCCTCCGGGACCAGGTATACGGCCGTTTGGAGCGGAAGTGGAGTTCTTCTGTGAAAGAATTGAGACCAATCCATGTATAACTTACCCATAGGGTCCAGGTACCTCCTGAGGATGGTCTTGGAGGTGAAAGTACTTCCAGAGAATGGTCTTGGGGGGGTCAAAGGACATCCGATTCGGATGGTCCTGGACCTATACATGGACATTAGACCATCATAGACCCGATGTACAGGACCCATGTAGGAGACTGGATCGGTCACTCTGACGTCGTCTGATGGTCTGACTGAGCAGTCTCTTGACGTCAAGAAGTGTCAAACGGAGCAGTTTTCACTTCCGGCGGAATTCCGAAGCCACCGACACTCCCTGTTTCACAAGCCATGGACCCTGAGGCTCAGGATGGCACCCTGAAAGACTGTTTTCCTCTACAGACCATTGGTTTTCAGGGTCCATGTTAGTTTCGGCGGGGTAAATCTTCGACTGTCCGAGGCCATCCGAACGCTTCAACAGACAGGTCGACCGGGCGTACACCACGACGGGTGGATCCTGCACCCTTCGAACGGTCGTGATTCCAAGCCTTCCAATGGCTCAAACACTTGGCTCAAGCAATACCCAGACACGACCCATGGGACTACCATAGGACTGCCGCCCCACTGACCCCCCAAGCCACCCCAACTGATGGGTATAGTACCAGTCCCATGGAGTGTTTGGGATATGGTGACCCAGTGGACTCTTTCCAAATTTTGGAAATTCAGAGGGTCACCGAATTCCATCTGGGCAGAAACATCCTCGCAGCTCGCAGCTCGCAGTGGAGGGTGACCGTTCTGGGCAAGCTCGCTCGACGTGACTCACGCGACACGTGACCCAGCGCAGTCACCGTGACCCAGGATCATGCACTACGGCGAAGCCATCAAGGCGGGCTTCTTCGGTTCGCAGCTCGGTCAGAAGTTCGATGTTGGCCGAAGAAGCTGGGAAGAGCCGTTTGACCTTCACAGAACGTTTTGCCAATAGGTTTAGCAGCATAGGTTTAGCATGTACGGATCCCTTGGCCTAGGTGAAAAGCTGCCTCGATTTTCTGGACTCAAGATCTTAAAGAGGCCATCGCTGAGAGGTTTGAGGCGCTCTTAGGTTGGAGGCCATGGCTCTTAGGTTGGAGGCCATGGCTCTTAGGTTGGAGGCCATCTCTGCGTCCCTCTATTGAGATGTGCAATTCTCGACACATCCAGAATCAGGTGCAGTGAGAACCCTGGTGACATGCCTATACCATGTCAATAGTCAGGTCAATCTAGGGAGTCCTTGAGCCTTGCTTGTTGGCCAATGTGTTTTCTTTTGGCTACACGAAACATTTATAAACGATATCATTGTCCAGTATGGGTCTATAGAATCTGTTTTGGTCTTCATTGAACGTCACTGACACAATTTAATAATGTTATACTCTCTCTCTCTCTCTCTCTCTCTCGCTCTATGCAAATATATAGTATACATTATTAACCACTTAATGACTTATTATCTGCACGATTTGAGTGGGTGACCAGATACCAAAGGCCTTGAGGATGTGACCTTGGGCATTGACTGGGACTGGATGTCTCCTCTGTTTCAAGACGAGCTCTGAGGAGAGGCTCAGCAGGCTTCTCTTCCTGTGGATCACCTGCCCCCAGCGAACTTGTTGGGGGATGTGAGACCTTCACTAAAGTCACTAAAACATGAGCAGGTGGAAGTCACGGTGGACAGTTTGGTTACGTGTCTATTGTCCAGGGAAACGGCCTTGGCAAGCACCACGCCATCTCCTGGTCATCTGGACTTCGACTCTGCGGTCAGAGAACCAGCGGCGTGAAGCGTTTTTAACGTTTGGAGCGTTTGGAGCTCGGTTTTCGGACCACCGGCCGTCAGACGTTGATCAACGAGAAGTGTGGCGATGGGATCATGTCAGCCATCGACTTCTACCTTGATGTGGGAACCACCGTGCCCTGGTCGGCACGCGGGGGGCGCAAAGGCGACGCAGACGGGTGGGGTCAGGACGCAGGCGTGCAGTGGATGGTCTGAAGCGGCACAGCACCCCGAACGGGTTTTGGCCAAAGACTTGCGATTCAGGCGAAGAGGGGAACTCCAAAGTGGCCAAGGGAAAGAAGCCTCAACAGGGGACCCTCCTGTTCGGCTGCACGTATCAACCGCTTCGAGATGCGACTTTGGTGCCCAGTGGCGGCGATGTCACCAGTGAGGGGGGCCGACGAGATGATCTCACCGCCTGGCGAAGATGATCTCAGGGCCGAACGGGCCTGAGGTTGGGAAGAACGGCGAGAAGCGCGTGGTGATCACGATGAACGGGAAATTCTTGCCGCACATTGAGCAGCTGGCTGAGGACAATACGGTGCCTTCGGCATGTTTTCAAGCGCCTGAATCCCTTCGGTGTGTTTCAAGCGTTTTCAGAGTGCCACCCACAACCTGAAGGGGGTCAACCAGGGTTGGTGCAGTGAAGAGCAGTGAAGAGTTTTGGTTGTTTTTTGTAGGTTGTGTAGATCTCCAGACTTTCTGCTGCTACTACACCTCTAGACCTCACACACACACACTGTTTGGGGTCTCTTGCCGCCATCCTCTATCCCTAGAATTCCTGGCCCACCATTCATTTGTTCTCAGCGGATAAATACACCATTGACTTAACTTTATGAGGATTTTGACACCCTTAAAACCAGGTCAACCGACCTTTTTTCAATGTTCTTGGAAGGTGAGATGAATTGATGTCTTGACTGCAGGAAGCTGCATAAAGAACGCAGGGTTGCAAAGCTGTTGCTTTCTTCTGGCTGCTGAGTTGGCAACAAACAGGGCTCCCTGGGCTCGGGGGTCTTCTTTTGATCAAGGGGGTCATTAATGCTTTGAACGATCATCTTTCTGTGGACCTGGATGTCTTGGCTCAAGATTTACATATGATTTGGACCGTTCTGAATCGTTCCGAGACATCCAGTGGCTCACCATTGAGTGGCTTAGACTCACTCTTGCACCGATCAGAGTGAAGCACGTGGGTCGAGGGAACCAAGCACCCATTCCCCAAAGCTGCAGGCGGACGAGCAGCGAACCCACCAGTACTTGGCAACGAGCCATGTACTTGGGTCTAGTCTAAGGCCAATTTAGAGATTTGGCTGAGCGTCTCTTCAGTTTTTCTGGGTTTTACAGTATTTGTTCAGTGCTACTGCTGCTGCAGTAAATATATTTTCAAGCATCAACACCCATTTGGATGGACCCTCTTCAGGACTGCACTGGATTGACACTCAATATCCTCGACACACCAGGTATAGCAATACCTACATTGACCCTCCTTTTCTTTTTCACCCCAAGGTCATGCAGATGTTCCATGCAATCTGTGCCATACATGGAGTGTTTGGGCTGTTTTCGCCACGTCCATCAACCGCTCCTCCAGTGGACTCGTCCATCAACCGCTCTCCCCACGCCCTCAGACGTCCTGCAGGCGCCGAGCCCTCAAGAGTGACTGAGCTGCGGATGACCTCCGGCACCGCGGATGACCTTTTTGGCTGCGGACACAAGATCTGCAGCAGCTGCAGAGTCGCGGCACGCCCAAACACATGCGGAGAAAGGATGGACATGGATGGAATGGCTTGGGTGAGAAGTCTTCCTTTTCGATCCACAGTGGCGTTCTAGTGGGGGCTGCGGAGCCTCACTTCTCGTGCGTGGAAGAAGAAAGCTCCCCTCGAAGTCTCAAAAAGAAGACGAGATGAACGGTTTCGCGAGACCCTGGCCCCTTGAAACACCACCCACTCCGAGTCCATGGCGCATGTTCTTTCTCGAAGATGCCTGCCCCGAAGCAGTTCATGCTTCTGACCCCGCTTTGGAGCAGGTCCACCTGCTTGGAGCAGAAGGAATAAAAACCCGAGGGCAGATGCATCGAGCCGCAGTCAATTTGGTTAGAGTGCCACTTCCCTATCCCTGCAATCTTGGTGGGGGCTTTTAGGGCTTGTTTGTGAGACCTGAACATCACGCAGCACCTACAACAAAAACCCTTACCACTGTTGACTATATTTGTGGGAGTCATCTGGGTGATTTACAAAGCGCCCCAATACATCTGTTGCAAGTCGGATGCGGTGGTGATTTTTGTTGGGCAATGTCACTTGCAACCCCAAAGCAATCCCAGTGAAATGAAGCCCTAGGGATCCAAGTACCTTCTCAGCAGGTGATTGGAAACACCGTTATGTAGGTTTGGAGGGTTCAAGTACCTTCTGAGGTTCGGTACTTGGATCTATAGGGCAGAATTTGGGCCACACTATCAAGCACAATCGCTTTCCCAGTGAACCACCTCCCGCCCCTCCCGGTTTGCCGACTCCGCCCACTTCCCTCCGGCCCGCCAGCGGGGTGTGCCAGGAGTCGAGCTGAGGTCCGACTCTGGTGCGCGAGCCCGGCACACGAAGCCAGAGTTGGAACCGATCTCATGCCATCTCTAAGAAAGGAAACTAATATAACCTAATAGCAATCCAACCCAATAGCGATGGCCTCCAACCTACTAGCGATGGCCTCCAACCTAATTACTGGCGATGGTCTCCAACTTGATAGCGATGGCCTCCAAGCTACTAGCGATGGCCTCCAACCTAATAGTGATGGCCTCCAATCTAATTACTGGCGATGGCCTCCAACCTTCTAGCAATGGTCTCCAACTTGATAGCGATGGCCTCCAACCTACTAGCGATGGCCTCCAACATCCTCGAACCTAATTCTCATCCCATCTCTAAGAGAATGACAAGATACTTGAGGCATGATAATGAATGCGTGTGGCACTGGATAATCAATCGCACATGAGTCAAGATTCTGAATCCAGTTCTTCAAAGACCCATCGGCTGTTCTGAGGAAGAAGAGATCCGCCTCAAAATGGAGAATTCATTGAAGATTCAACGTTGCCACATCTATAGAGTGTTTCATGTTCATGAGTCGCAACTCAAAATACACACGACTGGTCTCACATCTATCAGTTTCCATGTATTTCTGTTATTTCGTCCCAAGGCATCACGACGGGTCTCACACCACCCACGAGGCATCCCCCGTCCGACATCCCCCGTGCCGCCTATAGGCATCACGCGGTGCAGACGGCGCAAGACGTCACCCGGCTTCCGCCGTGGACGCAAGCGCCGGACGATGTGCCCAAGGACGGCCATGAACGGGGCGTCCGGACTTGAACGGCGTCCGTCGGTTGAAGGACCCGAAGCGTTCGACGAGACCCAGTTCCCAGTTCCAAGACACTGTTTGGGACTGCCATCTATGCCTGCCGAGAAACGGCCCAGGGTTGGTTGAAATGGGGTCAATGTATATATATATATATATTATATATGCCAGTCCCATGGAGTGTCTGGGATAGGTACCCCAGGTAGTTCGATCGCGATGGCCCCTGCCGCGGTCCTTCCCGCCCCTGCCGTGCCGTGGCGGAGCTGCGCACAGGAGCTGCGGCTCTTGCAGCACATTGCTTTGCGGGTCTCGTTGGAAGACGGCCGCGACCTGTCCCGAAGCCCAGCCGTGGACTCGCAGGTACTGGGGTTCGATGGCGCCGAGATCGTCAAGAGTACCTTTGTGGGGCTTGCCCTTCCCCACAAAGCCACCCACCAGCTGGTTGCTATGAACCGGAGGGGCTGTTGGCAGGAGCAAGGGGCAAGGGGCAAGGGGTTGTCCTTGTGGATTTCAACCTTGCCTTCAGGATCCGGGGACCAAACCACCTGAGAATCGATCAGAGGCCAAGTGAAGTTCACCGCACAATTTGAAGGAACAATTTCTATAATTACTGCAGGATTTCCTCTCGAAAAAGACAGGCAGTCATTATAAAGTATCTTATAACCAGATCTAACCAGTATCTTGATAGGCAGTGCTTAGCAGGATCTTCTTCACCGCTTGCACCCACAACGGTTGCCTGCACGTTTACCTTCTCCACACGTGCTTGTCAAGGCCTTGGACCTATGCCGCGCGAGCGGTAGAGGCGCGAGCGCCAGGGACCGACGCCTCCAACTCGGTTTGACAGGTGAAACCCCGCCTCCGACCGTTCAACAGAGGAGGTGCAAATAGAGCGATTTCAACGGATTTCCACGGAGGCCGATGGATTTTTACACACCCCAGCTGGGTGCCTTTCCGTGGCCAGTAGGGGGAAATTCGCTTGCACCAGTGGCGAGGCGTGGGATGCCGAGTTGTTCTTAGCCAAAGGTGCCACCGATGCTCAGACACAAGGCCAGACAGCTTGGGAGGAGGCTGTGGCTTGACCAGGGGGACATACTGGATTCGATTCTGAATGAAATGAAGAGGTTGTTTTTCCATGGTTATGATTCTATATTACAATATGTGAGAGCCAATCTTTGGTAGGAACCCGAGAGAGTACGTTTTGGATCTTCCGCATACCGTTTCTGGAAATGATAATTGTTGCAGCATCAGAAAATGCGGACATGGCTCGGAAATAGGCCCCGTCCGCAACTCACAGGTTCCAGTCTTTCCTTTTGCTGGTGGGTTTGGATGGTACCTTTCTTCAAGCCACGGTGCGAAAATGGAGGCTTTGGAGGTCCAAGGCTAAGTTCCTTTTATACGTTGCGAGTTCGTCTAGATGTTGGGAACCTCAAGTTGGATTGAGCGGGAGGGTCAGGGCATAACTAGGGCAGCCATTATCCACCAAGGTGAATGGTTGGTTGGGAAGGGACACCTTGGGATCTGAAACATGCAAGTGTTAGGACCTTCACTTGAATGCCATTTTGGCTCAAGTGAAGGTCCGGGGGTTTTCTCTTTTGGCCGTGCCGCCGATGGGACCCACTGGACCTTCCCGCGGAGAGTCGATTGGATTCGCTCTCTGCGCGGGCTTGTGGGCCTTGGACTACATTGTGGTGTGAGGGCTGCTTGTTGAGCGCTCCGCTCGACTCCAGCGCACTCTGTCAGCAGTGTGGCACTGCGCACAGAGTGGGCGAGCCTGCAGCCAGCTCGCCATCACGTGGACTGCTGGTTACAATGCCGTCGAGGAGACCCACAGCCCGGACACCTTCGACACCATCCACCTCTCAGGCTTCGGGGCAAGGGCGGGAGCTCCCCCCTTCCGTGAGGCCCAGGTCGCGATCCCCATTGCCACGTTCGCGGAGCACCTTGGCATCTCCGAGCGGGCCGTCCGCGAGTACATCCTCCATGCCCTGTGAGGCGCTCAGGCCGGGCCAACCAATGGAGCAGGAACTCCAGGATCTGCTTCAAGACAAGCCTGATGGCCTGCGTGAGTTGTTGGTCCTGGTCGGCGCCCAGACATGCACCGATGTTATTGGTATTTGGGGGAGCAGCCAGGAGCTCCTGCAGGAAGTGGAGAGCGAGATTGGTTCTCTGCCTCCCGACCAGGAGTTCGCGGTGGCGGCCTTTTGGACGGTGGCTTCAGGCCGGGCTCACAGCACCCGTGCCAAAGCCCAACGGCGTGTGGAGGATCATCGGAGGTCGTGCATCTCGACTCACCTGGTCCAGTCCGGCCCGGATTCCACAGTGCCACCTTCAGGCGTCAGGATCCGCCATTTGACCTCCACAGGCTCGGGTTCGGCAGCCCCCACTATGCTTCATGATGCCTCCCAAGACCCTTTCGCGAAGGAGGTGTTGCAGAAGAACGCCAAGCTGGAGGCGATGTTTGAGTTATTGGTGGCAGATTTCCTCGACTTAGCGGAATTGGGGGTCGACCGCGCCATGATGAGAGATCCCGTTCGCCGCCAACTCCTCCAGGAGACCGTTATGCCAGCGGCTAGCCGCGTGTCGCCTCAACGAGCGGCTGCTCTGGTGAGCGCCCTCAGAAGGTGGAGGACCTATGCGCTGGACAATCAGTTCCATGTTCGTGCCCCTACACCCCTTCAGTTGAGTGCTTTCTTCAAGGCCGTGGCGGCCGGGGGCCCTACAGCAGCTACAAGCATGTTCCATGCCCTGAAGTGGTTCCGCCAGCATTTCGCCCTCCCATTTGAGCTGGATCATTGGCTGTTGCAACCGTACAAGTTGCTCCCCTTGAACCATGCGATTCAGCAGAAGCAGGAATTGCAACCTTGGGAGATGGTAAACCTGCTCCTGCGCCTTCGTCAGGCGTCAGGTACGCACCTACTGCTCCTGGCGATGTTCGTGTGGGCAGCGACCTCCTGCATCAGGTTTGAACATTTTCAACGCTCCAGCTTTGTGGGAGAGGCCGACACTTTCCTCATCTTCAAGTGCTCACAGGGGAAGGCTCGGCGTCAGGGCACCCGACCTCCCTACGAGTGGGCTATGCCTGAGTTGGGCTTTCGTGGGGCTAGCCTTTTGAAGATTGTGAAAGACTTCGTCCTCCATGAAGCCTTGCCGGATGTTGGTTTTCTATGGCCTGCAGTGGCTTTGCAGGCTGATGAGTTGTGGCAGGTGACCGAGACCACCCCCTGGATCGTCACGAAGAAAATGTCAAGAGGGCGTTTCCTCGAGTTGATGAGGGGCACGTTGATGGATATTGGTGTGGACCCCGCCCAAGCACAGGTGGCCGGGTTCAACAGACTGAGGCGCTTCCTGCCTACGCTGGGCCAGATATGTCGTTTGGATCCCCAAGACCAACAATCTCTTGGAAGCTGGGTGGAAGTGCCGAGTGCGGGTGGCCCCACTCCCCAGCGCAAGAGTAGGGCTACGTGGTCGATGGGCGTGCATTACGCCGGACAGAAGGTGGTCCATAGCGGCCTGCTCAAGGCCGCCCTGATCAAGCGCTTCCTCCAGTTGTGGGAGCTCAAGCAGCCTGAGTTGGCCCTCACGCACGAGGGGCTGCTGCCCAGAGACTCATGGTCCTGGCAGGAACTCGCTGTGGCAAATGAGCGCTTCCCCCCGGGGATGGAGTCGGTCGAGCTCCCCGAGGTGTCTTTGACCCCGGAGGAGGGGGCCCAACCAGGCCCCCCGGTGACTGACGTA